CAGGTTGGGGTTGAGAAGGAGAAGAAAGGAACTATGACCACGAGCTCACGGACGGCGTCCTCCACCGCTGCGCGCTACATCAATGCCGAGCCCAACGACCCGGAGGATGACCAGAGCTTCATGATCTACGAGTTGATGAAGAAGAAGAGGGTACCTATGGTGAAGATGGGGATGGAAGTGTCCTCGAAGAACATGAAGCCGCGGAGGTGCTGAGCACCATTTTGCAGCAGAAGAAAAAGACCTACATGCAGACCCTCAAGGCCAAGAAGGCGAAGGAGCTATCACGAGGGTTTTGCAACACCTTCGGCCAAGAGCTTCACGATGGTGGGCACCAATGCTCCTTTCAAGGAAGGGAACTACCGCATGACCGTGGAGGAGTTGAAGAAGGTCACCAAATGCGCCATCTGTCGAAAGCCAGGTCACTGGCACAAGGAGTGCCCTGACAAGGATCGAGATCGTGGAGCCCCGAAGGAAGCTCATGTGTTGGAAGAGGCGATCTTTTGTGGCCACCTTGAGGAGCACCCGGGTGAGGGCGTTTTTCTTCCTGGAGCTGAACGCCTGAGCGATGAAATCTCCGCAGATGTCCCGAGTCATGGTGGCTCGGGATCTAGTGATCAACGATCGATGGCACCTCACGTCGAGAGTGCATATATGGCCAGGGTGACCCTCCGGAAGGTGTTTCTAGTAGTCATCACGGTATTTTTGGTGTTATGTATGGGGAAAGTCCGAAGCTTGTTTCCGAACCTTTCCGATCGAACCCGTACCCCGATGAATGTTGCGCAACCATCGACACCGGTTGCCAACGGATGGTCGTGGGCCGACAGACCCTTGAACGATTTGCTCAACGCCCCCCTCCTGGACTTCCGATCAGGACCAAAGACCAGACTCACCGGTTCAAGAGCGTTCATGGCATATCGAGCACCCGAGTCGTCGCCGCCGTTCCAACGAGCATTGGTCAGAAGGGATCGTACTTCATGCCGGCCGTCTTTGACAACCCTGAGAGTGTGGCAGCCCCCTTCTTGATCAGCTTGCCCTTCCTCATCGCGTGTAGGGCGGTGATCTATCTCGATCATGAGTCAGGACTCCGGGTGCGATTCAGGAAGCAAGGGTTCACGGTCAAGTGTCATTTGGGACCAACTGGAGCCCTTCGGATCCTTTGTGTGAATTCACCCCCACTCAGTTAGAATCCTTACTAAAGAGGTCAGCTGCGGTAACAACCAAGAGTTTGAGGTTCTCAAGACCGAACAACCATGTGATCCCACCGCAGCCATTTTGAACCGGACCAAGACAGGAGCCCCTGACGACGAGCTTGAACGTTCAAGAGACTCCTTGGTTCATGGAAGCCATGCCGGAGCTGAAGCGTGCCAGAGGACACCGGGAGGAGACTCACTTCCCTTCCTCTGGGGATGGAATCGCCTGCTTCGGAAGCTGCTCTACGTCATGCAGGGACTCAATGCGCTGCTCGAGAACCTGATGAAGCGACCCGCGGAGACCCGCGACCTCACCGCCGACTACCCGATTCGGGAGAAGAACGAGTACCAGCTCCTCGCACTCCGACCAGGACCACCACCGAGGCCTCTTGGGAGAGAATGAGCCTGAACTCAGAGCTCCTTCAGGCCAGTCCCGGGTCATCCCAGGGGGGCGTGACCCAACTGCTCGAGGAGATGAAGGAGATCGTCGGGCCGCCTCCCAAATGCGGTCATGGACGCCTACGCCGACTATTTTTGAGTCACACGACGAAGAACAACCGCCGTCTCTTTTGGAGGTGGCCGATGGACAGGCAAGGACAGTGCTCCACCTTCCAGTGGTGCAACCGGCAGCCTCTACGCCCGGATCTCGACCGCCTGGAGGAGCCTACACCACCATCTACGAGGAGGGGAACCCCGTCGTCGTCCACGACACTGCAGGTACCACCACTGCCGCGGCGCTGTCCTCACCGGAACATCAGCCGGGCGGGGACCAATGCCTTCAAGATCATGGAGAAATGTCTGGACTGCAACCGAACCCTCGTGGACGAGCCCACTCCATTAGGACTGGCGAAGAAGGCACAGAAGCGCCAGGAGCAGAAGGACCAGAAGTCACTCTACCTCACTCGACTGACTCGCCACAACATCCGGGAGCTCAGTATCAGGAAGGATACGCTATCCGACCTACCAGGAGGACATGACCAACCTCGACCCGGCACATTCTCGTCGCCTGCAGCAGTCGGGAGCTCTTCAGTCGGGGGGAATTTGGGAAGACGGTCCCTACCAGGGATGATCGATGCCGAGGAGAGCCAGCTGAGCGGTAGGAAGCTGAAACGCTTGCTGCGACAGGGACAGGGTGCCCTAGCAGAAGCCCACCAAATGTGGCAGAATGTTATGACTTGCCTACAGGAACCAGAGGGACCTACTCCCTTTGATCAGCTGCTCTGTACAGTAGCCAATTCAAAGACTCCGAATTGCAAATTTGTGCATCGTTTGGCCAAACTCCTGGGGCCTTCCACAGGAAAGAAACAAGCTAAGGTGGTTGCTGAGGTTTACAATCCGAATCGCTTCTCGAGTCGTTCGGAACAACACGGGTTGAAAGCCGGCGAAGCGTTCGACCTCGAACTCGGACATGATTTGACCAAGGAAACCTACCGTAGGACCGTCCGTGAATATTTGAACAGACACAAACCTGGTTTGGTGTGTATCTACCATGTTTTCTATGTTGCAGAACTTGAGTGTGGGAGCTCGGGAGTCCAACCCCCACAAACAACATGAACACCGTCGGAAGGTCATGGAAGCTAAATTGCTGTTAGGCTTTGGGCGGAACTGTGTTACATGGTCCATGAATATGGGGGTACATTTCTCTTCGAACATCCATGGACATCCAAGGCCTGGCAGGATCACCGCCTGAGGACCCTTCTTGAAGACCCAAACATCTTCCTCACCAAGAACGACCAGTGCCAGTTTGACCTCAAATCCATGGAGGGTGACTACCACAAGAAACCCACGGGATGGTTGTGCAACAACAAGGTCTTGGCCAGTGCACTTCACAAAGAATGTCCAGGCGATCATCCTCACCGACCAATTCTTGGATCTTCACATGGAATCCAAAGATCGGCCTACGCGGCTAGGTATCCTACCGCTTTGGTAGACCACATCCTTCAGGCATACAAGGCATCCACTTCCTACACCGAGGAGCTCTATGTCTCCCACACCAACGACCTTTTCAAGGAAAGCTACCAGGTGGACAGGATCATGGAGATCATGGCGGGTGAAGAAATGGAGTCGGAGGAGGGGTCTAAGGCAAGTCCAACCGAACCACTCCCGGTTCGGGATCTAGGAGATGATGGACTACCTGCAGAAGATCTTTCAAACGAACGACCGCTACCTCTTGAACGACCGGGTACTTAGGTGGCACTTTGGACTTAGCTACTTATAAGTTACTTACGGGGGACTTATACACTTACGATTTCTGGTATTTATAAGTAGGTCGTAAGCTTGTAAGTATTTATAAGTAGGCATGGCTATTTTTAAGCGTTTTAACATGTTTTCAAAAATTGACGGGCCAAACTCTTTTTTTCACCCCAAGAGCCACATATCTTGGCCGTCTTTGCGGTAAAACAGCGGAGCTTCCTTCGTTTGAAGGGCTTCCTCTAACGTCAGCCACCTACGCAAGAATCGGCTGAGACCACATGCCTCAACTGCATCATGGTGCGGCAGCCAAGAAACGCTGGGAAAGCGACAACACCACGGCTGCAGAGAACATAAAAGCTGCATCTATAAAAATATCAAAGAACAAAGCAGAAGAAGTGTACAAAAGGGACAAATCTTGTAATGCGCCGCGGACAATTCGCGGACATCCACTTTTTCACGCGGACACTCCGTCCGCCGCGGACACTTGTATACCTAGCCCTGCTGTCCTAGGCCGCCTATCCACCTTAGCTTGCGGACATTCGCGGACATCCCCAAGCTTGTCACCTGAAGCTCTGTGGGTGTTGGTGTCTGGACAGCCGCGGACACTGGCGGACAGGCGCGGACATTCTACTATGCCGCGGCTTCAAGCCCACGCGTGACCGCCATCATGAAGAGCAGGCTTGTTTCCAGCCACAGGGAGATGTCTCTCCAGGACACTTCCGCTCCTGCTGTTGGCAGCGAGGACACTTCCGCTCTTGCAGCTGGTAGCAAGCGCATCAAATCATTTTCTGCTGTGTAGACAAAGCCATGCGGGCCGAAAAAACAAAACCGGTTGCTGGAGCCCACGACTCAGCCAAAATAGATCACTTTCATGGCCATATATCGACGAGTGTTTAAAAAGTGTTTCTAAAGAACCAAAAAAACTAAGTAGCTAAGTAGTTTGTAAGTAGCTCGTAAGTATTTTGTCATTTTGAATGATCTACTTATAAGTAGTGCATAAGTGGCTAAGTATATCACAACTAACTTAAACACCAACACCTACTTACCATTGAATTAACCAACTTATAATAGACTTACCATGCCGTAAGTCTACTCTAAGTATACTTTAAGTATAGTTCAACTAGCTAAGTCCCGCGCGCCCCCTAAGTAGTATCGAGAGCCTAGTACGAAGAGCGCACTGTGGTTTGGGACACCCGGGAAATCAAAAGCTAGCCAACATCCTGAAGACCGCCAAAGCATCCACTGAGGCCATTAACATTGCCGAGAATCTCGTATGTCCGACCTGCATCAGACACAAACGAGTTGATGGGGCACGACAGGCCGCACCCCCTAGACAGCTGAGACCAAACCAGATCGTGGGAGTGGACACCGTATATGGCTACCAGGAATCGAACCCGGAGGCAAACTGAAAATGGCCCTCAACTGCGTTTGCTGGTCCACCCGATTCCAGTTAATGATCCCAGTTAGAGACCACACACCTCAAGGAGCAGTTCGGGCATTTCACCAATGGCTCAGAGTCTTCGGATCGCCCGAGGCCATCTATTGTGACCTTGGAAAAGAGTTCAAGGGGCACTTCGAACTCATAATGACATCTACCTGGATCCAGGATCCCTCGAAATGCTAACTCAAAGAGCCATCACAGAGCGAGCCGGCAGAAGCTTCAAGGAGGTCCTCTCCAAAACGTTGATGGAAACAGGCTACAACTCCTGGGATGAGTGGCACCTCATCGTGGACGAGGTCAATGCTACTATGAATCGGTTATCCAACAAGTCCGGTTTCAGCCCTATCCAGCGGATGCTGGGCTACAGCCCCAGACTTCCGGGAGGCATCTTCCAAGGGGGCGAGGGTAGTATTGGAGCGATGTCCCGCTACCATGCCGGTGACGCGCAAGTCCAACGGTCCACAGAGATTAGAACTCAAGCAGCCGTGGCATTCCATCAGGTCGAATGCGAACAAGCTCTAAAGCACTCAGTGTATGCAGGCCCCAAACGTTTCTACGACTATGAGGTGGGACAAACCGTGTACTTCTGGAGAAAAGGGATGGAATGACAAAAGAAGGACTCTCCAGCCTTCTGGCACGGACCTGGAAAAGTCATCCTCTCGGACCTCCCGAACACGGTATGGGTCAGCTATCGGGGAACTTTGGGAAGGCCGCTCCGGAACATCTTCGCCCTATTACCAATGACGAGAAGTTCCAGTTCACCGACTTCCTGACTGACATCGTCAACACCCAGAAGGAGATTCAGAATCACAAGATCAGGAACTACATCATTCTTGATGAGAAGCCCCCGGCCATCGAGGATACACTCCTACCAGAACATGAAGAAGATCGTGATCGACCTGGAGAAGAAGATCCACCACCACCAAAGAAACCTCGCTACCGAATTGAAGGAAAAACAGCAGAGACCGAGGTCGAGTTCAAACCAGAAGAAGAGAACACACCTCCAGACGAGAATCCCAATCATCAAGGACCTGTGCCTATGTCGCCCGGACTTGATGACTACACACCTACAGAACCAGGTGACCAAGATCCCCACGACGAGCGTGAGAGAAGGATGAGCACGGACGACGACCACAGTAAGAACTGAAGTAACAGAACCACCGGTCAAACGGCTCCGGACTGAACATCTTGAAGTTCTATATCAAGAACTTGTTCGACTACGACCACAGAAAGGCAAGGAGATCGTGCTAAACAAACTCCCCGCCAGGAAAAAGGAGAAGTTCCTCAAGGTCATCCTCAAGGAGGTGACCAACAATTTGAGTTCAGGCGCCTATGAGGTCCTAGATCGAAGTGAGTCCGAGCATGTGAGAAGAACCAAAGCTGAAAAGATCATGAAGTCCCGCTATGTCCTCACGGAAAAAGGGGTTGAGGTGGAAGAAGTCGAGAAGCTACAACAAGAGGGCCTACTGATCGAAGACAACGACCCGGCTCTTGGACCCCGAAAGGCGAAGGCCAGACATGTCATGAAGGGCTTCTCTGAACAGGGCGCCGAAGACCTCGCTTCTACGACTCCCCAGGTAGCAAAGGAAACCGTCTTCTTCACCTTACAAGTGATCTCAAGCATGCAATGGGAACTTGGGCACTTGGACTTCATTTCATGCTGGAGACATGATATCCCGGGAACTTTATGCTGAACTTCCGCCCGAAGGACTTCCAGGATACCACCCTCGCCAATTGCTTCGCCTGAAGAAAACGTGCTATGGACTCACCGATGGTCCCTATGCCTGGTATCAACATATCACCAGGGTCCTTCAGGAGTTGGGGTACGAGAAGAGTCGAGCGGACCCATGCCTGTTTTACCTTCGGGACAACCAGACCAGGAACACTGTCGGGATCATTGCCCTCGCCACCGATGACATGGTTCATGGAGGTGGTGAACAACACTGGAAGAACATGAAGTGGCTACAACGGAACTATAAGATGGGCAAGTTCACTACAGGCGAAGGAAAATTCACAGGCAAGGAATTGACCCCCGAAGTCAATGGCTCAATCCGAGTCACTCAAAAGAACTACATCGAGAACTATATCAAGAAGATCCCTCTCAGCCGTGAACGTGGAGCCCAAAAATACTCCAGATGCTCAGAAGAAGAGATCGGACAACTTCGACAACTAATTGGAGGCCTGAGCTGGGTAGCCAAAGAATGTCGACCAGACATTGCTGGACGAGTTTCCCTTCTTCAACAAACTATGCCCCATCCCATGATCCGTGACATCCTCGAAGGAAACAGCATCGCAGAAGACTTGCGACGAACCTCTGACCTGGGACTGAGAATACAACCAATACCACTCTCCAAACTCAGGATCGGGGTGGCTACTGATGCTTCCTGGGCCAATGAAGGTCCCAATGCCGACTGTGACAACACCAAGGAGTATTGGACAGAAACACCAATGACCCGGGCACGACACCATGTGACCCCACGTCGGCTGACCTTCCATCCAGGGTCAGTGGCCGACCCAAACGGTCCAGATCTACACCAGATCACCCAAGATCGAAGAACCCAAGCCGGAAGCCAGACTGAACACGACAGATGGGACGGAACAGATGGCATCAAGGACCTAGGAGCCCAATGGACAGGCACCACCACCTTCTTCAAGTCCAAGGACAAGAAGATTACAAACCAGCCCCTGTCCGAGCGATTCCTCCAACTCGCCAAGAAACACAGTCAAGGAGGGTATCTCCTTTTCTACTACCACCAGGACCTTGAAACCTCCGACCACAAGCAGGACATCACAATCGCAGGATGGAAGAGCTATAAGCTCCAACGCTGCACAGCTGGCCAGCTTTCCATTTGTGGCAGCCACAGACTCGAAGTCCCTCTACGACACCATGACCAAGTGTCGCAATACCTCGGCTCACATCGATGACAAACGCACTGGCATCGACCTCACCATCCTCAAGAGTGACTTGGCACATTCGTCGGGTCAGGTGAGATGGGTCGGGGGAGGAAACATGATTTCGGACCCTTTAACTAAGAAGATGACGCCGTCGTTTTTGAGAAGGGTCATGGAGATTGGCCAATGGTCTCTGAAAGAACAGGGCCATACAGAGATTTCATCCAAAAGAGAGTAGCTGCGATGTGAATAGCATGTCGCATTGGATGAAATCACGATTCCGAAATGTTTAACTCTCGAGGTGGCCCGACGCGGCCCTATGTGCAGGGGACAATGCACATGGTAAAAAGGTCTTGCTGCCCACATAGACATATCCTTGGGGCGGCCGGGTCCAATGCAGCTGGATTCTACGAGATGTCTATGAGTCTATGATACGTCTTCCCAGTTCCTGCACTCCTGGGTCCACCTTCCATCTTTGGACAGAATGGATGAATCTTTGGTAGTAGGTGGTTGTGGTTGACACCAAAAATATCACTCTATGTTTGGAATATATATATAATATATGTATTTTTGTATTTATTATTAGCAAAATTTATAATATATTTTACTACAAACTGTTATACTGTATACCTACATGGGGTGATCTGGGGTGGTTTTAGAATGTTTTCGAGTTCAATGCAAGGGCAATTATGCCACACATGGATGCCCCCCAGCAAAGCCAGCCACACCAAAACATCTCACTCTTTGTCAAACCTGCCATAGCAACTAAGTCATTCTGAGCTTTAACCTCAGGTCTGGGCGGGCCCCACTTTCGTCCTATGGCACTAGCCGTTCAACCTAGACACAAATCTGATCTTCCTGCACGACAAAAAATCTTCCGTAGGGGGTCACATGGCCCTGCTAGAGGTAACCAACTTTAAAAATATGTTTGGTATATACGGTGCGCACAAAAAGCTTCAAGACGTCCAAACAAGTGCGTACCGCCATATCGCCATATCCCTGTTTTATTATCTATGATGTTCATGCCTTCCACGCTCACACTGAAGTGATGATCAAATGAGCGCTTGGAAGTCCGGCCTGCTGGCGCCCCTCCGGGGCTCAAAGCTGACACATAAAAGGAATCGCTGGATTTTCCACTCCAAACAGCTGCAGCCGACATCACCCGACATGGTCGTGCGCAATGAATGATCACAGTGGACACTGGCTTTGTTGGAAAGTGACTGAAAATGCTTGTGGCCCTTAGGCCCTCAGTTAATTTGCCCCGCGCAGAACTTAAAATCGGAACTCGAAGCTCTTCCAAGGGCTGCTGTATTACAAAAATCCAGTGACAGTGACACAGTGACCTAAGTCGCTCGTGTTTCCAGAGCTCAAGTCACTCCAGACCCGGCGCGCTGCGTGCGGTCGGTGACGCGTTTGCTGGAGGCTTTTGCCCGATCGAAGCTGCCACGGTTCACCTCATAGACCAAGTGCATCCGCTTCTTCACGGCCTCGCCATGGGAGACTGCATTGATACCCTTTACCACCAAAAGATGGCTGGACACACATCCTCAAATGCCTGGAGCCACCAAAAGACTATAAAATTGTCATAAAATAGCTACGATTTCGTCCCCCCTCGCACCCCCACAAACTAATTAATGAATGATGGAAAAGGATCTTGGTTCAAGGAATCATTGCCCCGCCCAAGAAGCGTGAGGCTTTCAGAAGGAGAACAAGTCCCTTTCTGTCAAATGGATGGCACCTCGTAGTCCTCCAGAATCAGCTGGATCTCCCCGATGATCCGCAAAGGGATCTCCTTGGCGCTGACCCTCCAAGTCAGCAAACGACTGAGAAGCCAAGCGGGCCCAAACACAAAAACCATCAAAGACCTGAAAGGTCTGCCAACATGCACCACATTTCAACACATGCATCCTCACCTAATAGGTCTTGCCACACATTCTGCACGGCTTCTTCTGCTCACAACTCTCCCAAACCCTTTGCTTGAGAATCGAGTGGCGGTCCCATCGAATGCCACGTGGCTGCCCAAGTCTGCGTAGCAAAGGAGTTTCACATCGGCGTATCCACCATCCGCCGTGACCCCGGCAGCAAAGCCCGACCTTTCAAAGCCAGGTTCAAGAATGCGCGAGGTGAATAATTAGACTACAGTAATTGAGAGCTTGCATCTCCCCCAAGGGAGTGTGCGCTTGGCTTGCGACTGGCCAAAAAAAAACATCCAGTCCAACCCCTTGCCGCGTTTGCCCGTAACCTCTGGAGGGATGGAAAACAAGCACTTCCCCTACATCAGCTACTAGGTGGGAGTCTAGCAGCCTCAGAGCCCAGGGCCCAGCACCCACCCAAAGGTCAACATAGGGGAGAAATGTTTTATACTCTGGATCTGAATGACGAATCTCTTGGTTCGACTTCGACGCCGTTTCCTGTTCTACTAGCGATGGCCTCCAACCTAGTAGCGATGGCCTCCAACCTGCTAGCGTTGGCCTCCAACCTAGTAGCGATGGCCTCCAACCTGGAAGCGATGGCCTCCAACCTAGTAGCGATGGCTTCCAACCTGGAAGCGATGGCCTCCAACCTAGTAGCCATGGCCTCCAACCTACTCCAACCTACTAGCGATGGCCTCCAACCTGGAAGCGATGGCCTCCAACCTACTAGCGATGGCCTCCAACCTGCTAGCGATGGTCTCCAACTTACTCCCCTTGTCTCTGAAGGTGACAGACTTTGGGAAATCACTTTGTCCGCACCAGCCAAGGCACTTGGTCCGCAGCAGCTGAACTCCGTCCGTTTCCACACTGCAGTGCTGAAACTCCTCCAAGACGCGCATGCAACAGTGCACCTGCTCGGGAACCGTCTCACCTGCCAACGCCAGCCCGCCCTATGCAGTGCAAGTGCTAAAGTGAAAGTAACAGACGGCCACTTACTTTCTTGCCCAACGAGTTCTCATCACTTGTTGTGGTCATAGGAATCTTGGGCAACTCAAAAAGCTTGAAACGATCTTTAATAAGCCTTTCGACATACTATCACAACATTCCTACAACACCAACAGGAGTGTTGTCAACAAATTCCTTGAATTCCACTGTTGGTGGCAACGTATGCATTGGGAATTGCATGTAATCACAAAATGTTAGAAAACCACAGTTCCTGATTCCCACGGCCAAGTGTGCAAACACGCAGGGCTATATATACCTGAGAAGGGAGGGGACGATAGCCAGCCTTTGCGTCAAGGGGGGTGCTCCCAAGCATGGCTGTCTTTGTCGTCTTGTCAGGGGCGTGTTGGAGGGGAGAGTGGGGAAAGAGTAGCTGGAAGAAATGGACTCCAGGTCTTTTGTTCCTGGTTTGGTGTTTTCCCTTCCCACGGTGTTTCCCCTTCCC